CTGTGGGTCAGGGTCATCTGAGGAGGAAGCAGATGAAGGGATTTGCGCACGGGAACTTTTATTTAAGATTTAAGTTTTTTTAAAGGTCCTCATGGCTCAGCAGCAGAAGCATAAATCTTACTGTTAAGAAATCTGATGATAAAGTTGAATAAAAATCTAAGTCTGATTCTGAAGGTAAATTAAATATCTGACAGTGATCATTACACAGTGTGGCTCTAATTCCTCACTTCACCATCTGTGTCGCAGTTTCCCATCTCCAAAATGGGCGTACACATGGGTCAGAGCTGGCGTGAGGCACCGCACATTTTCACGTCAAGTTTGGATTTTATAAATCACAACCTTGGAGTAAAAAGTGGCGTACGCAAGTTTCTGGGCTCATATTGTGCTTACGCCAGTTTTATAAATCTGACCCCCGATGAGGAAATAGTTAAATACATTTGTGAATTTTATAATACTGGATCTGAAGTTTCCAATAGATAGGCTCAGTWGATATTTGTAGTTTTAAAAACCATACTCAAGTAGAAATGGGATCAAATGATAAAGTGCTTTGAAGGAACAGTTCTGGGTTCATATTTATCAAACTTCTTGGAGTGAAGACAAATGCTAAGAATTAAGAGATTAACTGGTACCATCTTAAAATGTCTCTTGTCTAAAAACCTTTGCAGTGTTTCTTGTAAATTTTCGTTTATGTAATTCAAAATAGACAAAACATTAATGCATATTCATTATATTTTTTGAATGATCTGTTATGACCTTTTTGAGATTAGAGTTGTTTAATCCTTACCAAAAAGAAGTATACTAAATATACTAAAGTACATAAAAGTGTATTTCCCTAAGTGTACTTTTTTTTACCAAGTACACTGATATAAGTAGCTATACTAGCAATTTAAAAATTGTATACTTCGTGGGACTAAATTGGCCCACTTTAAATTTATGAAATTATACTCAGAAGTATACTGAAAGTAATCTACATAGACTTAAGATCTAGCTATACTAAAGTAAAGGCTCTAGACATTTACTAGCAGTAAACTTCTAGTGCAATTTTATTAGTTTATAAATGTACACTTTTAAAGTATAATGAAAGTAACATTTTAGGTTTGCTGTTTGTTCACTAATAATATATTTCTAGTTCACAATTTAGTATATAAAACACATTTTCCAGTATACTCCAAATAACCTAGTTATACTTCTACGCTACTTTTAATGCTGAGAGAAAATGTGACAAAATAGATTCAGTATTTTATTTGACTCCAACAAACAGTTTAGGTCAAATTAAAACTCATTCTGACCTTAACATGCAGTGCATAGAACAGTCCACTGAGCTTTTGTGTAATTGTTAAATTGTTCAAATGTACATAGTATTCTTTGCAGCTGCTCGCTTGTAGTTTTCATTGTTGCAATTATTCCAAAGACTGACAAGAAAGGATTTAAAAATAGAACATCTTGAAATATGCTATAAATAAGTAGGAATCACCAGCACTCCAAAGATATCAAAAGGTTTCAATATGGGCAACAATGGGAAGCATTTTGGCTACATGCAGTAGTCAGCTTGTTTCAGATGTTGTCGTCTTCTTAGATTTTATTGGCCGTTTGCAAAAGCCTTTAGGTGCACATTACCGCCACCGACTGGAATGGAGTGTTAATGAAATGATTCAGTTACTAACAACTTAAAAAAGTAAAAAACTCATATCTTATCAAATAATTGAGCCAATCTCAGATAATTGATCAAAGCTTGAGAACTATCAGATACTGAGTTTCATTGTAAAATTTCAAATGGATTTAATCTCATTTAAGCAAGCCTATTAATCAATTGAGCGCTTTCCTTTCTGTATATCTGACAGGTTTCCACAATCACATTTACCAGTATCATGTTTCCCTATTAAGAAGAGAGTGCTATTTATCCCTGTATGACCAAATCTAAGACATGGTTATAACAATCTCTTCCCTTCTGTTTCTTTCAGCACTTCTCATCTCTCCTGCCTTCCTCTGAATCCTAACAAACCATCTAACTTTTCTTTCTTCTTCCCACTGTTTTTGCCACTGTTACAGATGTCTTGCAAACAATGAGTCTATATAGAGATCAAATGACATTCAAGCCAATCAGAGACAAGATGGGTAATAATATTCAAAATTCCATGAATACATGAAATGACAAAAGTCAAAGAAAGAAATTCAACACCAACTCGTCAATAAGTCCTTTAGGGTTTACTGTCTGTAAAGAGTGGATTCAAAATGCTTCGCTTTGTAGCAAGAGTTTATCTCCATTGCCTCCTCTTTTAAGAGCAGGAACAGCTTTTATGCCTTGAAATTTCAAGAAACAAATAAGCTTTTGTGATTCTTCAGAACCAGGCACCCTTCCCACCTTTTTTTTACATTGGAGTTGTACGCACTACCTTTTCCCTCTTGATATACTCCAAATAAACCTGTCTGAGTGAAAATGTACATTCAGTGTACTACTTCAGTTTATCTTGGCTAAAAATTTTCTTCAATCTTTTCTTCAATCTTTCTCTCAGGCCAAAGAGGGCATCAAGGGTGAACGTGGACCAGATGGGGACCCTGGTCTTACCGGACCTCCAGGAGAAAGGGGTCCTCCAGGTTTACCAGGCTATGCCAGACCAGGAGACCCTGGAGAGAAGGGTAGTCAAGGGTCACCAGGATTGCCTGGATCTCCTGGACGACCTGGTCAGTATTAGATAATATTTTTCTCATACAGCTGCTGAGTCAATAAAAATATATTTTTTAACCTGTAGACTTGTGCCTTTTATTCAACAGGTGCAAAAGGGGATCCAGGTGTTGGTGTTAGTACTCCTGGACCTCAGGGGGTACCTGGGCCACGTGGAGAAACTGGTCTGCCTGGACTTCAAGGTAATTAACTTAAATGTAAACATGTATTTTAACCTAAAATGGTGGTTTTACATGTTGCTCTGTGTGGGTGATTTATTGATCTTGATCAATAAAATAGCTGAAGTGAAGGAGCAGAAAATGTTTAGGTTTAAATTAAAATACATTTATTGCAGGTGACAGAGGTCCTCCAGGAGATCCAGGGTTACCAGGTTTTCCTGGAGAAAAGGGTGAACATGGAATACCGGGAATTGGATTTCCTGGTCCAGCAGGTCCTAAAGGTGAGTTTTTCTAAACTCCAAACAACATTAAGGAACAAAATGTGAAGAAAGACTTTTTTTAGCAAGTCATTTACCTCGAAAGAGTGGATAAGTACTAAAAACTGGCAAGAAGACGTCAAAAAGATTTTCATGTCATGTGAACCATATGTGGGTGATACATCATGTCTTGGCCATGTGTCTAGGAATCAGTGGAATTCCTGGAACCACAGGATTGCCCGGAGAGCCCGGAAAACCAGGACACGATGGGTCACCTGGAAAACCTGGCCCACCTGGACAGAAAGTGGGTATATTTTAAGTTTATGTATGTTTTGAATACAATATATCAGTTTTTTCACTAGCTGCTGCTTGTTTTCAGCTTTAATGTAACAAATTTGCTGACAAACATATAGGCAACATACACTCACCGGCCACTTTATTAGGTACACCACGCTAGTAACGGGTTGGACCCCCTTTTGCCTTCAGAACTGCCTCAGTTCTTCGTGGCATAGATTCAACAAGGTGCTGGAAGCATTCCTCAGAGATTTTGGTCCATATTGACATGATGGCATCACACAGTTGCCGCAGATTTGTCGGCTGCACATCCATGATGCGAATCTCCCATTCCACCACATCCCAAAGATGCTCTATTGGATTGAGATCTGGTGACTGTGGAGGCCATTTGAGTACAGTGAACTCATTGTCATGTTCAAGAAACCAGTCTGAGATGATTCCAGCTTTATGACATGGCGCATTATCCTGCTGAAAGTAGCCATCAGATGTTGGGTACATTGTGGTCCTAAAGGGATGGACATGGTCAGCAACAATACTCAGGTAGGCTGTGGCGTTGAAACGATGCTCAATTGGTACCAAGGGGCCCAAAGAGTGCCAAGAAAAGATTCCCCACACCATGACACCACCACCACCAGCCTGAACCGTTGATACAAGGCAGGATGGATCCATGCTTTCATGTTGTTGACGCCAAATTCTGACCCTACCATCCGAATGTCGCAGCAGAAATCGAGACTCATCAGACCAGGCAACGTTTTTCCAATCTTCTCTTGTCCAATTTTGATGAGCTTGTGCAAATTGTAGCCTCAGTTTCCTGTTCTTAGCTGAAAGGAGTGGCACCCGGTGTGGTCTTCTGCTGCTGAAGCCCATCTGCCTCAAAGTTCGACATGTTGTGTGTTCAGAGATGCTCTTCTGCCTACCTTGGTTGTAACGGGTGGTTATTTGAGTCACTGTTGCCTTTCTATCAGCTCGAACCAGTCTGCCCATTCTCCTCTGACCTCTGGCATCAACAAGGCATTTCTGCCCACAGGACTGCCGCTCACTGGATGTTTTTTCTTTTTCGGACCATTCTCTGTAAACCCTAGAGATGGTTGTGCGTGAAAATCCCAGTAGATCAGCAGTTTCTGAAATACTCAGACCAGCCCTTCTGGCACCAACAACCATGCCACGTTCAAAGTCACTCAAATCACCTTTCTTCCCCATACTGATGCTCGGTTTGAACTGCAGGAGATTGTCTTGACCATGTCTACATGCCTAAATGCACTGAGTTGCCACCATGTGATTGGCTGATTAGAAATTAAGTGTTAACGAGCAGTTGGACAGGTGTACCTAATAAAGTGGCCGGTGAGTGTAAATCACAATCTGGGGGAGCATAATGGAGGAGAGCCTATGGTATCATATACTCCACACTCTATGATTTAATAAAGCAATTCAACATTCAAAATGTCCAACAAATAAATGTATCAATCCCACAGCTAATACTGTATGATTAAATACACCAACAGCAACACAATCTGATCTGGTTTAAGCTGGGACATTTTAAAGATGTTTTTAGATTTCCCAGTAACTCAGATCCTTTTCTTCTAAACCTACAGGGTGAACCTGGGCGTGGTCTTCCTGGCCCAAAAGGTTCACAAGGCTACACAGGAGTTACAGGTTTCCCAGGTGAGAAGGGTAACGTCGGATTCCCTGGTATTCCTGGACGTGAAGGACCAACAGGACTACCAGGACCTCAAGGACTTCAGGGTAAAGCAAGAAACTTACAAAACCATCTGTGTGAAGCTTTGTTGAAAATAATCTGAACCAAAACTGATGCTGTTTTGTTTTGAAATAAAGGTGAAGTTGGACCTCCAGGACCTTCTGGACCAGCTGGCCAACCAGGTGCTCCTGGGAAAGGTTTGCCTGGACCTCCTGGACCACAAGGACCACAGGGAGATCCTGGACCTTATGGTGAGCTTAAACATGCAATGTTTACTTTTTCTTAAAACAATTTCATCATGTCACCATAGGAAAATTTAAAAATAGAGAAAATAAACACTATTGTTGTTGGTAACTTAATGTTAACACAGAGCTTTTGATGCCTTCTCTTAGGCTGTTTGTCATTTGGTTCTTTGAAAAAGATTTTTGCATATATTGTAGGCATCGAAGGTATAAAGGGAGAAAAAGGTTACCCTGGTCTTCCTGGGCTCGATATGCCAGGGCCTCAAGGAGACAAAGGAAGTCCTGGGTTCCCAGGAGTCCCAGGTTTCAAAGGACTACCAGGCCAACCTGGATTACCAGGCATAGATGGACCAAGTGGAAACCAAGGTAAGCCACTAAAACAGCTATGACGCAATATTCTCAAAAACTCACTCCAGCTCCATCGTCTTGTATGTCAGTTAAGATCAAAAATCAAAAAACATGGTTGTTTTTTACTCCATATTAATGTGGGGCGCCAAGTGTAAAATGAAATCTTAAAAAAAAAATCACTAATACATTTTTTTATTATTTAGGTCATTGTTCTTAAAAAACAGCAATTTAATTTTACTAAATGTTATTTTTAAATGTTGAAAAATATATTCAAATATTAAATCCTAAATCCAAATATTTAAATCCAAATGTAAAAGTTAAACCTTAAATATTGAAGTTTTATGTTGAAGTTCACACTGAGGTATTTTGAAATGAAGAAATTAGTGTCAGATAACCACGATTATGTCATCACCCTGCGACAAACATCAACAATGGCCTCTGCTAACGCTGCTGAAAATAATATAAAATTTTTCAATTTAAAATGTGTTCATAAAAACCAGTATGGGTAGTAACTGTGGTCCAGCAGTTTGAAGTGCAGCTCAGACACCGGCCATAACTGCAAGTTTGATGTCTTGTAGGGAAGCTTTAACTGTGTTGAAGCGCTAGCGGTTGCTATTGTATCAGAATGATGACATCATAACATGAGACGAGCAACAACAGCAAAGGCTGCGTTCCTTTCCAAAATTCCTTAGATATAAATGTTAACATTTAAGGTTTAGCTTTTTCACTTAGATTTAAACGTTTATATATATATATATATACATTTTCTATTTAGTAAAAATTAGCTAAATGTAAGAACAGTGAGCTAAATAACAATAAAATGTCAGTGAAACATTTTTAACACTCAAAAAGTGAGCTAAACAATGAAAAATTGATTAGTGAAATGTTTTAACCTTTCATTTTACACTTGGCACCCCCATACAAAAGACCAAATAAACCACCAAATGAAAATGATGTAAGTTCTTTGAAACACTTTTTTTCACTTTTGTGACACATCATCTTCACAATAAATTAAATGCCTGATTAGTCAGAATTATTTTGAATTATAAATAAAAATAAAATATGTTACAAACAGATCACTTGAGAAGCAGAGATTATTGTTTCGTTTGATTTTAGATTTTGTTCTTTAAAAAATTGAAATAAAAATCTCTTGAATTTAAATGATTCATTATGTTAGCCTATTTTAGGCAGCTTTAAATGTTTTAGCCTTTAGACTTGTCACAGTGTGTATGTTTGTGTCCATGGTTTGTAGGTTCGAAAGGTGAAATGGGAGTCATGGGAACACCAGGAACCCCAGGATTTCCTGGACCTCCAGGATCACCTGGATCTCCTGGTCTGAGAGGTGAGACATACAAAAATTTAATAAGACCCTTGCTGCATATATGATGTGAGCCCCTTGAATTCATCAGCAACAATAAGACCGTTCTGCTTTTCCTCCCAGGTGATCCTGGTTTTACTGGGCCTAGAGGAGACAGCGGAGAGCCTGGACTTAAAGGTGACAGGGGAGATAAAGGTCCTCCAGGACCTCCTGGGAACTTGACAAAGGTTGAAATGGAGCACTTGAAGGGGCAAAAGGGAGACATTGGAGACCCAGGTACAAATGAACATTCTGATTATTTTCTTTTTTTTTTTCTGGTAGAGACTGTTTTAAAATAAAAGCATGCATATCTGTTTAAATCAAATCACAGGGAGGATCATCAGTGCCCTATTTTTGATTTCATTGCCATTTTTCAAACAGGTCAACCGGGTGTCACTGGAGAGAAGGGCCACGAAGGATCTCGGGGCGATCCAGGAATGCCTGGCAAAGATGGTGCTCCTGGATTACCTGGACAACAAGGCAACTAAACTTTCACCTTCTTGTCTTGCAGTTTTTCATGATGTGATTAAAAAAAAGTTCTTAAAGTGGTATTTATCTTTATCTCAATGTGACTGCTGTTTCTAAGGTGATAAAGGAGATCCTGGTTTTCCGGGAGAGCCTGGCGTGCCGGGACAAGTGGGTCTCAAAGGCAGTGTGGGCGACATGGGAATACCTGGTATGTGTTCTGAAATCAAACGTCAAGGAAAAACTGCCTTGAAATGTTTTAGATGGGTTGTAGTGGTGCTTCATGTGTGAGGGCTGAGGTCTGCAACATTAGCTCCTGATCTTAGTAATACATACATCTTCCGTTTGCATTTGTTTACAGGTCCGGTTGGTCCAAAGGGTGCAAAAGGAGACTTTGGTACACCAGGTCATCCAGGGTTCAGAGGTGCAGAGGGTGAGAAAGGAGACTCAGGGGTACCTGGTGAGCCAGGTATTGGTCTTCCTGGGCATCCAGGAGAACAGGTAATTTACATGTTAAAATTAAAATGATTTGTGATGGAAGCAATTTTTTGACATGAGGGAAAAAGTCAGGTTTTATTAACTGATATATTTAGGAGTGTGCTGTGTGTGGCTTTACATTGTTAAAGCATAATTTTAAGACATAAACAAGCTGGAACATCGCAGTCAAACAGTGATGTCTTATTGAGAATATTTAAAACCCTCAAAATATATTTAGTTAAACAGTGGGCAGCGCTAATCCAAAAATTAGTTCCACAATTTCTAAAGAGCTTATGAAAATATTTAGGTCTGCAACTTCAAAATCGTTTATGCCATAGAAAAACTAGCGGAAGCTAATTTTAAAACGCAAGTTCAAATTGACACTTACTAGCTGGCAACAATTCATGTACAATATATGTACAACACTGCCAACTAGTGGTGGATAAACTCTTTTACAACTTAATTCTACAACCTCCGATTGCTGGGGATGTGATTTCCTGAAATAGACCTTTAGCTCCTGGTGTAAAAATTAAAAAGTTGTTGAGGATTGCTAGTTCGGCTGATTCTTTAAAAAGTTGTTGAGGATTGCTAGTTCGGCTGATTCTTTTAAAAGTTGTTGAGGATTGCTGGTTCGGCTGCCTCTTTGTCGTTTTCTTTTGTTTGTTGTAGATTTTTCATTAAAGAAGTATCAATAAAGTGATTTTAAAATGGTTTATTGGAAAACTGAAACAATGCATTCTGGGTACATGACAGATTTGATTTCTGACGGGAAACGAAAGCACAGGAAACTATCTTCCCTTCAAAATAAGACATTGGATTTAAAATTTTCTATGTAGTTACTCCAGTTGACCACTAGATGTCTCTCTTCATCAGCATGACATCTTTAAATAATTTCTGAGTCTCTAACCCCGTTGGCCAATTGCTTTGACCAATTATGTCAAGTATTGTGCTCTAGCGTTTAAACTTTTTTTTTAAATAGGAGCTCCAATTGTAAAGTAAAATAAATCAATACATACAAAATTTTAGTATAGATTACAAATATTAACTGTTTTTGCTATTTCCTTCCTGCAACGTAAGCAGACACAAAGCATTGTGGGAAATCAGAACCATGACCCAAAGCAACAGTCAGCAAGGATGTATACATACCGGTAATTGTGTTTATCTGGGAGGGGTGCTGTTGGATAGATCATGTACCGTATGTTGTGATTCATTGACAGACATACCTTCCACTGTTCAAGATAATGATGACTGGTAGATAATTAGTTATTACCGATACTGCATTCTAATTTTAGAAAGTGCAAATCTGCTTATGAATTATAAAAATTAGTAACACCGTTAAAGCGCAAAGGAAATATTAAATCCACAATTAGCAGATTTTCGCTTTAGCGGACTGTGTCCACCACTGGTTAAACATTTTTAGTTTTAATAATCCAACTAACTGTTATGATTCCTAATCTTGGCCAAACACTTTTGATCACTATGACAAATGTCAAGTATAAAAGTGGGAAAAGTACAGAGGTCTATAAAGTATAAAATGAATAACAAGTAAAAGTAAAAATACCTTAAAAGAAAATTTCTTTGGTAAATTTTTTTTCACTGATAAGAAAGGTACTTAAGTAAAAGTCATAAAACTGCTCACAATAGTTGGGAAAGTAAAAATAATAGTACTTTTACACACTAAGAAATGAAGTGTGAAATTCACTGAACCAAACTGGTTCCACCAAACCGGGTTGAGAAAATTGAGCAATTTACAAAATTTCTTACTCAACTTGGTCTGGATCCTTGGAACCAGCTGACATAACTTAAGTAAATTCAACACTTCATTTTTAGAGTTCATAAATAAGCCCTTTCATGATGATTACCGGTCATATTTAAATTTGTAGTGTGTAACTAGGTGTTAAAATTTAAAATAAAGAAGTAAATTTTCCATTTTTTAAAATGTTTTAATATAGTGAAATAAAAAAACTTGGTAAAATTACAAAACCTCAAAAAAAGACTTGAGTATTGTGACAAAGTAAATGTACTTAGTTACGGTACACCTCTAGAAAAGTGAAATTAGAGACAAAAAAGCTATAAATAAAGACCAAGGTACTTAAAATAAAAGGAAACTGTTGTTCTCTGTCCTGAGTTTTGTACTTTGACTTTAGGTACTGATCTCCCATCTTCTCCTTGACATTACGTGAACCTTGTTGCATGTTGATAACATTCTAGCAGGACTTAACTGTTGGCATTAGCGTTCGTTATATTTGGTGTATTAATTACACATACTGTAGATAAGATAACTGATACACTAATAAACTAGAAGGGAAGTTAAAAGGGTACATAAGAAATTGAAAACCAGCTCAGAGTCCCTGACAACACTTTAGTTTGTGACGAGCTGAGTTCTCATCCAACAGCAAAATCTGTGAGCTGTCATGGGTAGAAATACAAGTTCAGATGGGATTTTTTAGAGTCAGCCAGTGTTTGACAACAGAAACAACATGAATTCTTCAAAATTCACCGTCCATCATTTTAAATAGTGATGTCAAATGAATGTAGAAAAATAATAACTAATAAATTTTACTTATTTTCCCTGTGCTCCACCATGTTCCTAATTTTCCACTTGGTAGATTTTATTCCTGATAAATTAATTAGTCCAGTCACATGACCTCATATGGATGAAATAAATAAGGCAAGCAACAAGCACGCAACTTCAAATATAATGATTTAATTACAAAATTGAATCATTTTGAATGTAAATTTAATGCTATGTCAACACTGTTACATTATTTTTGTTGCGTCAGTAGTTTTTTTCCCTTTGGTTGAATTAAGATCTAATTGGATTTATAAATTTTTGCTCTTTATTCCCCTCCTTTCACAGGGTCAGACTGGCCAGCCAGGGTTTCCAGGGTCACGTGGGGACAAAGGTGAAAAGGGTCAAGAGGGAATGCCTGGGAAACCTGGACTACCAGGAACCAAAGGAGACCAAGGAGGCACTGGATACCCAGGTCAGACTTCCAACAGATATATCTCTATCATTAACTTCACTGATGTAAAGCAAAATGTAACCATACAATCCTTTTTAGACATGCCTTTACTTTGGTTTGTGTGCAACTTTTAGGTCAACCAGGTAGACCGGGAGAGAAGGGTACTCCTGGACTTGCTGGATCTGCAGGAGATCCAGGTCGTGACGGCCGTCCTGGTAAGTTAAGTGAGAGTCATGTCCATGTTCAAATAAGACAAAAATGTTTTCAGTTTGTTTGGATTTTGACACATTGTTTACCTCATTTGAATTATTATTTTATAAGTTCATTTTGACAAATAACACCCAACTGGTTAGTGAGTTATATATATGCTTAACAGAGGTGTCAAAAGTATTCACATTCATTACTTAAGTAGAAGTATAGATACTAGGGTTTAAAAATACTTTTTTGGAAGTAGAAGTATCAAGTCAAGCTTTTTACTCAAGCAAAAGTATAAAAGTACTGGTTTTGAACCTACTTAAAGTATAAAAGTAAAAATAATGAACACTTTAAAAAGCCATTCAGGATAAAAGCTTTTTTATTTGAAAATAGAT